TTGGTACAGGAACAGGCATATAGACCAATGGAATATAACTGAGATTCCAGAAGCAAAACCTCAATTTCTCAACCAACTCATCTTTGACAAAGCCTCCACCACCTACCACTGGGGAGAGGAGAACCTATTCAGTAAATGGGGCTAGGAAAACTGGCTGACCACATGCAGAAGATTGAAACAGGACCCCTATCTATCCCCATACATAAAAATTAACTCTAAATGGATCAGAGACCTAAATGTAAAACGTCAAATCATAAGAACCTTAGAAAATGTAGGACACACCCTTATGGAAATTGGAACTGGCATCCAATTCCTGAACAAAACCCGAAACCCACAGGTCATAAGAGAGAAGATAGACAAGTGGGACCTCATTAAACTGACAAGCTTCTGCAAAGCCAAAGAAACCATCAAGAGAGCAGGGAGACAGCCTACAGACTGGGAAAAAATATTTGCCTATTCCAGGTCTGACAAAGGCTTAACATCTTGGATCTACAAGGAACTCAAATGTGCTGAAAAGAAAAAAACAAACAACCCCATTATAAAATGGGCAAAAGATATGAACAGACACTTCTCAAAGGAAGACATCCGAGCAGCCAACAGAAACATTCAGAAGAAACATTCAGAAGAAACAGATACACGAAGAAACATTCAACCTCACTAAATCATCAGGGAGATGCAAATCAAAATCACACTGAGATACTACCTAACTCCAGTCAGAATGGCCATTATCAATAACTCAAAAAATAACAGTTGCTGGAGAGAGTCTGGAGAAAAGGGAACACTTCTACACTATTGGTGGGAATGTAAACTAGTGCAACCTCTGTGGAAAGCAGTGTGGCGATTCCTAAAAGCTCTAAATATCTACCTCCCATATGACCCTGCAATCCCCCTACTGGGAATATACCCTGAAGAACTCGAATCACTCTATAAAAAAGATATCTGCACATGTATGTTTATCGCAGCATTGTTCACAATAGCAAGAACCTGGAAGCTACCATGCTGTCCATTGAAAGAGGACTGGATTAAAAAATGTGGTATATATGCAAGATGGAATACTACGCAGCCATAAAAAATAACAAAATCATGAATTTCGCAGCAACCTGGATTAAACTAGAATCTATAATACTGAGTGACCTCTCACAGAAACAAAGATCTGAGTATCACATGTTCCCACTCATATAGTGGACCTTGATCATCCAACGTAATACCATAAGAAAATGACTGACGGTGGTGGGAAACTATGGGGGCGGGGGAAGGGAGATGGGATTAATGGTAGTAAATATCTGTCTGGGGACGGGGAGACTCCTCTTATCAACAAGGATGCCTGAATGAAGCACATTTGTATACCTAACCCTTAACTGTACTCTACAATATCATAATAAAAAATATTGATTATTAAAAAAAAAAAAGTCTGCTTCAATGCTTGTTGAAGAAGTGGAAGTACCCATTTCCAGTCCTAAATTTAAAATTGTAGACCCACCAATGGCAAACCCACGTATGCTGTAACCAAAAAGCTCTATAAAAACAGCTTGAAACTGAGGGTTGGGACTCAGGTTTTAGGAGCCTACTCCTCCTGAGACTTCTGGAATAAACACTTTAAATTCTCAAAAAAAACCAACTTCTTGAATTGCACACTTTACCTTTATATAATGCCCTTGTCTTTTCTATTGTTTTTGGTTTAAAGTCTGTGTTATCTGATATAAGGATAGCTACTTCTGCTCAATTTTCTTTTCCATTTGCCTGATGTTATTTTTTTTCTACCCATTTGCTTTGAGTCTATAATTGTCTTTGGCCAATAGGTGTGTTTCTCATAGCAAATAGTTGGGTCTTGCTTTTTGTTTGTTCATTTGCTTAACCCAGTTTGCCACTCTGAATCTTTTAGTGGTTGTGTTTAGGTCATTTATTTTCAGGGTTAATACTGACATGTGAAGTTTTGTTCCTGCAATAGTGTCATATGCTAGCTGCCCTGGGGTTTCCCATGTGTAGTTGCTTTATAGGAACTGTGAGCTTTGTACTTATGTTCTCTTTCATGACAGCAAGATATGTCATTTCATCTTCATATTTAGAACTTCTTTGAGCATCTCTTGAAGAGTCAGTTTAGTGGCAACAAATTCCCTTAGTGCTTGTTGTCAGGGAAGGGCTTTATTTCTCCTTTGTTTATAAGTTTAGTTCGACTGAATTCAAAATTCTGGACTGGCATTTTTTTTTTCTTTAAGAAGGCTGAAAATAGGCTCCCATTATTTTCTGACTTATAGGGTTTCTGCTGTTAGTCTAATGTCCTTTCCTGTATAAGTGATTTGGTACTTCTATCTTGTTGCTCTTAGGACAGTTTCTTTCACATTGACTGAAGAATCTGACAACTATATGCTTTGGTGAGGTTCTTCTAGAAATGCATCTTGCAGTTCTTTGAGCTTCTTGTTACTGGATGTCCTGATTTCTCTGAAGATCAGGGAAGTTTTCTTGAATTATTTCCACAAATAGGTTTTCCATACTTTTGACTTTAACTTCTCCCTCTGGGATGCCTATGATTTGTAGGTTTGGAACATGATCCCATATTTCTCGTAGGCTTTGCTCATTCTTTTTAGTTCTTTTTTTCTTTATATCTGTCTGACTGGGTCAATTCACAGGACCTGTCTTCCAGCTCTGAGATTCTTTCTTCCACTTGGTATAGCCTACTGTTAAAGCTTTGAACTGTGTTTTGTATCTCCACCAATGAGTGTTTTTGTTGTTTGTTTCTTTTTAATGTTGTTAATCTCTCTTATAACCTCCTGAATTGTTCTGTTAGTTTCTTTGTGTTGGTTATCAGCTTTCTCTTGCATCTTGTTGAGCTTGTTTATAATCAGTATTCTGAATTTGTTATCTGACATTTTAGGGATTCCATTTTGGTTAGGGTCTGTTGTAGAAGAGTTAGTGTGCCCCTCTGAAGGGTAACAGCCTATATTTTCATATTTTCAGAGTTGTTTCCTGGTTCTGCCTCATCTGGATGAACTATGATGGCTCATCTCTATGAGTTTCTTTGATATAGACAGCCTGTATATGTAGGATTTCCCAAGTATGGGTTGTAATAGAAATATACTGAGGGTGTGGGCCAGCTTGCTGCCCCCTGTAGGGCTGGAGTGGCATGGGTCTTGGGAAGCTTATCTTGCTCCCTGGTAATGTGTGCTGCTGTCAGCAGATTACCTGTTGTGTGGCAAGTTGCTCAACCTCCAGGACAGCAGGTGGCACCTATGGGTCAAAGCTGGCCACTGTCAACTAGCCTTGTTAACTGGAAGCAGCTCTCTGCTGTCTCAGGCAATGAGCTGGTCTCTGCCCATCAGCTCACAGACCACTGTCCACCTGTTTCTCAGTCACTCTCACTGCCAGCTCTGCCTGGCCTCCCAGATCCACAGTTGCCTACAGCAGGCAGCATCCATTTTTCTAATGAAAAGTCAATCATTCTTATTTTTGTTTCCCTGAATCTAATATTTGTGTGTGTGTGTGTGTGTGTGTGTGTGTGTGTGTGTGTGTGTGTGTGTGTGTGTCTTTTTTTAAGGTTTCTTTCATGCTTTCTTTTGTGGTTTTCAACTTCTTACTTATATATGACTAGGTGTGGCTTTCTTTTATTATCATACTTGAGTTTCACTGACCTTTTTGGATCTGTGGTTGATGTCTCTCATTAATTTTTGGAAAATTCTCATCCATCATCTCTTCAAATATTTATTATGATCCATTCTCTTTCCTTATAAGATTCTCGTTAAGATATATGTTAGAATGTTTAATATATTCCCCCGGCTTCAGATGTTCTATTCATTTTTTAATTTCTTATTTGTCTCCTATGCTTGTTTGGGCAATTTCTATTGACCTGTCTTCAAGTTCACTGATCTTTTAATTTTGTTCCACTGTGTTCAATATCCTATTAATCCCTTCAAATGAATTTTTATTTTTGATATTGTCTTTTTTGGTGCAAATTTTTTGGTCTACTTTCTATTTCTTTGTTAAATTCCCTATCCATTTACACATTTGTCCGCCTTTCGGCTAAATTCTTTGGCATTTGACAATGGTTGTTTTAAAGTCACTGCCTACAAGTTCTACTATTTGAGTCACGTGGGAGTCCGCTTCTACTGACTGCTTTTTTCTCTGGATAATAGGACACATTTCCTGTCTCTCTGTCTGTGTTGACTATGTGCTAGTCATCACTTATAAAGGCGCAGCCGAGAATCATGTAAATAATACTCATCAGCAAAAAAGGTCTGGCCCTGCTTTGTTGTTAGCAGCTAGTAGGTGATCTATTAACAGGTCTGGACTTTGCTGTACCTCGAAAGAGATTCAGTTCTCTGCTCTTAACAAATAATTTGAAGGACCAACCAGGCCCTCCTCTTTCATCAGAGCTTTGACCGCAAACAGTTGCAGGGTCTAGAGATCTTTCCCTGCGTCACACTTCAGCTTCCCCGACCACGTGAGAAAATCTGTTTTAAAGCTCAGTCATAAGCCTTTTGGGCTGAGGAAAGGGCCTTTTCCCCCACATTCACCCTCAGCTTACTATACCTCAAAATATTTCTCTTTTCCTGTCCTTCTCCAGCCTTTAAAAAACTGCTAAGATATATTTGGCAAGGTCATATGTGTCTCAAACTTGCAGAATGATCTTGAGCAAACCACAAAGTGCAGTACTTCAAGATTCTCTTTAATAAAAATAAAAAGGATAGACAAGATGATTCTTAACGTTCCTCTAGCTTTCATAGTTCATTATCTGTATATTCTATGATCTATCAGTATTTTCTAGTCAATATCAGTTTGGTAATGTGTTATTAAAAACCATAATCTATTAATTACATATACAAGAGCAAATCATTAAGATAAAAAAGCTGTGTTACTTGGAATTTCATGATTTTTTAAATATTTGAATAATATCAAACTCATATGTAAAGTCAGAACTGCCCAAAAAATACTCACAAAGGAAATAAACTCTGAGGTATATCAACTTGCAAATAGAATATAACTTAAGTTTAGGTGAAGACACTCACCCATCCTCAGTTTCCTTTAGTAGGCGACTGGCAATTCGGATCAGCATGCAGTAAGCAAACTGTGATTTGAGACCAGATTTAGTAAATTTATTCAGCATCTTGGAAACAGCAAGTCGATCATTCTTTCTAAGGTGATAAAGGACTCCCAAGGCATGGTACTAAAGAGTAAGAAAAAAAGTAGCATACAGCTTAGAAAGAAGACAAAATACTTACACAAAAATAGAACCACACAGAACTCATGAAAGATTTTTAATAAGAAGATACCCAAGACAAATGCACATAAATAGAGTACCTCTTTCACACTGAACTAAACACAGGCAAGACTGAAAGGTTAAGAGTTTCTAATTTATCCCTGGAAGCTGTAAACTGAGACTGGATAAGTATGAAAGAGAGGACATACAATATGAAAATGGCCTATTAGGTTTAACATTGGCTAACACATAAGGGCTATCTAGTCCAAGGCTTTACCAGTGTTAGCCATCTCTATTAGTGGCTTTAAATCATCAGTGGCTATCTCAGTAATTAAAAGACTCACCTCCTAAAGCAGAATAAAGGAGTGCTACTACCATGATACTTAGCATAAAAATAGATGATCAAAGTTAGGAGAGTGAGAATGGTTCCCAAGGGAAAAATTACTACTCTGTTTCTTCATAATTGAACATGTAAATATGAAAAGTTGTACACATTAATAGGACATAAATAAATACCTTCTCAAATATAGCAGGGTACTTTATATAAAACTGCTAGCAAATAATTTGATCTTGCTCTTCTTAATAAAGAATAGCCTAATAAATATCAAAAGGAGATCCTTTTGACAAAATGATTCCAAAGTTTCATAAAGTAAAAACCCAAACATGATTTTTATAATGTTTATAATCAGGGCCCAAGCAACGTAGAATTGAATTATCTTTTCACACAAATTTTTCAAATAAAAGACCACAAAGCACCATCAAGGACTTCTAGAATGAGCAGCTCAATCTACTACTGAACACAAGAATCTTTCCCTAGTATTTCTATGGAGGTCCTCTGGCGTCTACTAAACACTTGAAGGGCAGCAGTCACATGGCAGTGATCATAATTAGTGAGATTCCTACTGGAGTATACATATATACTGGTAGGCTGCTTAACATGCCAAAAAGTTTGCCTTTAATTAATGCTTATGTGAGGAATCAATCTGCTGCCCTAACATATAGCCTTCAAGGAGCCAATCCTGAGACATAAGCAAATGTGATTTGATGACAGTACCTGGACCATAATATTATCACTTGATGCAGCTTCTTGGGCTTCATTGATCCAGCGCTTAACCACATCATAGCTTATCTTCATCATGTGCTAAATACAAAAAACAATGAGAACAGATCACGTACGGTCACTGAAAGTTTAGAAATATAAGTTAGTTTTCTTAGAAAATCACTAACAGATATTTTCCAAAAGAAAGAAAACTTTGTAGCTTCATCTCCTAGGGTAACTGACAAACCAGGAACATCTTCTCCAATACCCCTTGGCAAAGGTAAGTATATATTTGTTAGCTCGAAGAGGTGTGTAGAAGGAAGTAATGAATGGGAAGGAACAGGAAGGGATGAACAGGCAACAAGGTGGTAATTAATAATGTTAACATTGTAAATTCTACTTCCAGGAAACTCTCTTGGAAGAAAGAAAGAGTGCTAGTATATTCTGTTTTAAGACTCAACCAATTACATTCCAGAATCAGGAATTCTTGCAATTCAGATGTCTCATGCGTTCACACATTAGTAATTGATTTTAACCAAATACAATGTGATATGTTTTAATGAATAAATTGTGTTCTGATGAAAAACAGAAAGAAAAGCTATTAATAAGACAAAGACTACTTCCTGGGAGAAAATTCAGAAGTGGGACAGGAGGTTTTGGACTGAAGGAAGCAGGACACCAAGGAAAGCAGAGGACAAAGAGACAAGAGGTAAAATTCCTAAAGACAGGTCATAAAGGATGATTTTAAATTAAAGATGACAGTCCTTGGTTTCTTCTCATCCTGTCTCACCCTTACTCCCATCTTTAGTATACAATGTAACTTTTGGCATCCCAAAACCTTTCAAACATAAAAACCTTATGTTTTTAAGTGCCCGTTTAAATTGCTCTATGTTCCTCTAGATAAAACACACTTGGATAAATAGAGAGGCATACATATTTTTAACTGTTTCATTTGTGAGATAATCATAGTGATACTTTGTTTTACAACTGGAAACCATGCCATGCATAAGAACTAGACAGGGCCTTGATCACTTACTAAGGAAGATACCAGTGCTGAACTGGATACACTAGAGACTTTATCCACAATGGCCTGCTTCATGTATCTTTCAATGGCTTGCAACATTGTTCCCTAATAACATTAAAAAAGGAAAAACTGTTAAAACAAAACACTGTCATGCAAAATTACTACTTCAGAATAATTTTTAAAAACCAGTGACATATGTATTTCTGTGCAAATACTTAGAATGCATTAAAAGGATTATCATATAAAACAATAACAATAACCCAAAGGGAAGAACCAGAACAACAGAGTGGACATTTCAAGAAAGAACATTTAAGATTATATATAAGGAAGAATAACTGTTCAACAATGAAATAAACTATCTCAAAAAGGAGAAATACAGCTTGAAAGAAGTATACAAACAAGTAGAGGCAAAGGTCATCAGGGATGTCATAGAGAAATTCCTAAATGGAAACAGAAACTCCTTCCTAAGTCGTGAAGATACTTTTATGTAAAAGGCGTATGTTATATATGGATCTCAATGAGTCTCATAAACTAAATGTAATCCCTGGTTAGCTCAGATGCATAATAAATTAAATGTGTAATATACCACTATGGTGAGCCATCAACACGAAATCCTCTGGAAATAAAGTTATTTTTAACTGTAACTGGGAAAAAGCTTAGCACTGGGAAGCTGGTGGCAGATAAAAATGATTAAAACTGTGGTCAATATCCAGGGAAAGGGGAGTTTTATTGGCAGCACTGTCATGGTCAAGTCTTAACACTACCAATTTAATGCTAAAAACAAAAACAACCACAATAAAACAATAGGACAGTAATACATAATAAATATATATATAAATATAAAAATAAAAATATTTAAATATAAAAATATATTTAAAAATATATATATAAAACGATTTCTATTTCTATTTCTCCTTCTAGAATCCAGATTTACAATTTGGTCCTGCTCAACTTTGAAAAAGAGAAGAGGTCAGGCACAGTGGCTCACACCTATAATCTCAGCACCTTGGAAGGCGAAGGCAAGAGGACTGCCTGAGCCCAGGAGATTGAGACCAGCCTGGGCAATATGGCAAGATCTCACCTCTACAAAAAAATAAAAAAATTTGCCAGGTGTGGCAGCACATACTTGGGAGGCTGAAGCTTGAGAAGGATAGCCTGAGTCCTGCAGGGTGAAATTGCAGTAGCCATGACTGTGCTACTGCACTCCAGCCTGGGCGACAGAAAGAGACTCTGACACACACAAAAAAATACAAAAACACCACCTGGGCAAATTGGTGAGACTTCATCTCTACAATAAACCAAAAATTAGCCGGGCGTGGTAGCGCACGCCTGTAGTTCCAGTTACTTGGAAGGCTGAGGCAGAGGGATCACCGGAGCCCAGCAGGTCGAGGCTGTGGTGGCTGGGAGAGGCCACTGCACTCCAGTCTGGGCAACAGAGTGAGACTCCAACTCAAAAAAAATAAATAAATAAAAATAAATACAAAAACAAAAACAAATACAACACTTTTAGAAGGCTGGAAATATACACATAAAATACACCCAAGCATGAATATATAGCTATTATTCAATCTGCTTGGTAAAGCCTGAGCTGCCCTTCATTTTAACCTTTCCTACTCAGATTTTCTAGAAAGGGACAATCTAACATAATACTATATGACCTCTCCAGGTATAACGGACTGGATCAAGGTTAAATACCTAACTCAGACACAGGTGGATACAAGCTCCTGGCCTACTGGTAGCTAATCAGATTCTCTATCTTACATATTTGAACCAGAGGGCCTGAGTCTGGTAAATGATGGGTCATGATAGTAAATTTCTTAGAAGTATTTCTGCAGCATTCCTTAGAGCTGCCCCATTTCTTGCTCTGGTGTCTGGCTGAAAGTTTTGCCTTAAATTCTGAGAGATCTGAGTCCTATAATAAAGCCTTTTCTTTTAAGATTAATTTGATTGAATTTTTATTTCCTTTCGCTTGCTTCTGTAAGTTAGTTTTCTCTATAGATTTGCCCTCATGACTACAACAGTTCATGAGGGCAAATCTATAGAGAAAACTAACTTACAGAAGCAAGCAAAAGGAAAAACATCTGAAGGAAAAAGAAAGCCTAGAGCCACACAAGTCTTTCTGCTGGTCATGTTTCTCTTATCCTGAGACTCACAAAGGCAGACCGGGGAGCCCTACCACATCCTATGGCCACCAGCAGATAGCATGGTGTTCCTTTCAATAATTCAGTGAAACGGAACTTACATCAGTGATTCTGCAGAGGGCCCTGATTGCTGGGCCTCGGTACACATCCTCCTTTCCAGTCATATCCTTAGTCAGACTAAGAAAAATCAAATTAGTTAACATGAGATTAAAATCTTTTCTCCCGTGCAGTTCACCCCACCTAATTCCCAGTTGTCCCATAATGACCTTAATGCAACTGCTGATTTAATGAATATTTATGGAGTATATTCTTTGTATAAGTGCTAAACTATCGGGTACAAGACTGTTCTAAATCTTAAGAATATGGCAATGAGCAAAACAAAGACCTTCGCCTTCACAGAACGTAAAGTCTAGGAGGAAGAGAGATAATAATCACATAATACAAAAAACACCTCATAATTTTAGATACTGATAATTGGCTAAAAATAAAATAAGTACAATGGTATAGAGAGTCCTAGGCTGACATCGCCCTCAATCCTAGCCACCCATCAGACTAGACATAACTTTTTTAAAAATTAACAATGATTAACTCTCTCTTCTGGCATAGCTTTCTAAAATGACAGTCATCAATGGCTTCAGTTCTTTCTGCTGAGCTTCAAAAACAGGCAGAGAAGTGTGAGTTGAGACTGAGCTACAAACTCCCCTGCCCATACTGTAAGAGGTCTGGCCTTCTACCCAGCTTCTCCTCTGTGCACTAACACCTCCCCAGAGCTGACTGTCAGCCTACCCTTCCAAAGCTCCGCTCAGATAATCTACAGGGGCCTTCAGCTCTGACTCACACCTCAGGACACCAAGAGGAAAAAAGTGTGAAGAATTCTTCTCTTTTCCAATTATAGAAGTAATTTATTCACATAACAATACATTTTCAGGGCCAGTAGCGGTGGCTCACGCCTATAATCCCAACACTTTGGTAGGCTGAGGTGAGAGGATTGCCTGAGCCCATGGGTTCGAGACCAGCCTGGGCAACTTCACAAGACCTTATCTCCACAATAAATCAAAAAGTTAGCTGGGCATGGTGGCATATGCCTGTAGTTCCAGCTACTTGGAAGAGTAAAGCAGAAGGACTGCCTGAGTCCAGCAGGTTGTGGCTGTGGTGGCCCTGGGCATGCCACTGCACTCAGCTTGGGTCACAAAGTGAGACTTGAACTCAAAAAAAAAATAAACAAAAAATACATTTTCAAAATATTCAGAAACATAAAAAGTATAGTATTTAAAGGTTTCCCTCACTTTCCTAGTCGTTCTTTAATGCCACTCAATTAGAGATAACCACTGTAAACAGTTACTTGTTAAGGAAATTTTTGGAAATGTATACAACCACAGAGATTTATGAAAATGTGTGCAAATAGGCCAGGCACTGTGGTTCACACCTGTAATTCCAGAACATTGGGCGGCCGAAGCAGAAGGACTGCTTGAGGCCAGGAGTTGCCACTAACCTGTATAACATGGTGAGATCCTGTCTCTTTTCTTAAATTAAAATATTATTTAATTTAATAATATAACTTGAGAACTTTTTTCATACCAGCACTTAATTTTTTTTTAGATATCGATACATTTTAAAATATCTAAAATACCTTCTTAGTGGGAGCACAGATTTCCACTGTTCAGATAAAAATAATAAATAATCTACTAACCAGTTTTTTTTAATGAACATTTTCATTTTTCCTTTTTTTTTTTTTTTTTGAGTTGGAGTCTCACTCTGTTACCCAGATTAGAGTGCAGTGGCTGCTCCCAGTCACTGCAGCCTCACCTGCTGGGCTCCGGCGATTCTTCCGCCTCAGCCTTCCGAGTAGCTGGAACTACAGGCGTGCGCTACCACACCCGGCTAATTTTTGATTTATAGAGATGAGGTCTCGCCAAGTTGCCCAGGTGGGTCTCGAAGTTGCGGGCTCAGGCAATCCACTCACCTCAGCCTCCCAAAGGCGCGGGATTACAGGCTGAGCCACCGAGCCTGGCTTTCATTTTTCAATTAGATTAAGAAACTGAGTCTTTCAGTTTAGAACAATATAGGCATCTATATGTATAATAATAGAAATTATTTATTTATAACACAAAAAATTAAAATGTCCATGATTCCTGACAAATGCTAAAAAATAAACATTTTAAAAGGGGACAAAGGTATTTTTAAAGTAAGAATGCCAAATAATAAATGTGAGAATAATGACAGAAATATAAAAAAAAAAAAAAACCACCATGTTTAACCACCAAAGTAATAAATTCAGACAAGCATCATTACACTGGGTAAAAGAATGTTGGGGAAGTAAACAGGCACCCACAGTCCAACAGAAAGATATTCAGTTAACTTTTGTGAAACCAGCATCGTGGGAATTCATGTGATCCATGTTGTTTTTGTTTACCCCAAATGGTAGCCATTCTTCCAACTTAATGATTCTTTGTAAATTTTCACATTGATTGGAAAGTCATCTTTTTACATATTCAGGTTTTTGCACTGCATGGAAATATCTCTTATGTGGTAAAATCATCATTAATTTTGATCTATTACAGTACTTTCTGTTGCATTATTCTGTTTTTTTCCTTTTCAATACAAAATCATTTTAATTATTGTATCGTTACACATTTGTACCTGGAGAGTAGGATGCCCTCGTGATTATTTATCTAAATGATCCTGGCTATTGTTACCCGGACTGTTTCAGATGGGACTGAGACTAATTTGCCAGTATTCTATTAACATTTTGCTTGGAAGTGTCCCGCATTTATATAGAGGTTAACAAAGGGAGAATTATTTCCATTTTGAATGCCTTTAACTACACATAATTCCAGCAGTCCCTCTGTAGGCTCTCACTCTTTTTTTGAGTCGGGTCTCACTCTGTCATGCAGGCTGCATGCAGTGGCACAATCACAGCTCACCACAGCCTCCTGGGCTCAGGTGATCCTTCTGCTTCAGTCTCCCGAGTAGTATGGGACCATACCACCATTCCTGGCTAAGTTTTTAATTTTTTTGTAGAGACAAGGTCTTGCTATGTTGCCCAGGCTGGTCTCGAACTCCTGGGCTCAAGCAGTCTTCTCACCTTGGCCTCGCAAAGTGCTAGGATTACAGGCAGGAGCCACTGTGCCCAGCACTAAGTTCACTTTTCAATATGTCATCACTTTTGTATACTATTATAAATTGGACCTCTCCTTTCATTATATATATTTTTAATAGTTTTTGAATACAGGAAAACTTGTATTTAATCTCCACAGAATCTTTATGAGAAGGGATTAGTATTATTCCTATTTTTATAGATGAGAAACAGAAAGCACAGAGTGGTTAATAATTTGTGTGAAAAGTAACAGGGATAGATTCAAATCTAGACAATCTGGTGTATTATACAATCATACTAAATAATAATAATTTTTCTACCTCTTTTCCAATATTACATTCTGATTTCTTTCTACCTTATAATCATATTAACTAACACACAACAGTGGCAATATTTGGTCATTTTACCTTGTTCTAGATTTAATGGGAGTGCTTCCTGTTACCTATGATATAACTTTGGGTTTAAGATATACTTTTCACTAGGCTTGGTGGCTCAGCCTGTAATCCCGCGCTTTGGGAGGCTGAGGTAAGTGGATTGGCTGAGCCCGCGAGTACGAGACCTGCCTGGGCAACTTGGCGAGACCTCATCTCTACAATAAATCAAAAGTCAGCCGGACGTGGTAGCACGTGCCTGTAGTTACAGCTACTTGGAAGGCTGAGGCGGAAGGATTGCCGGAGTCCAGCAGGTTGAGGCTGCAGTGGCCGGGAGCGGCCACTGCACTCTAGTCTGGGTGACAGAGTGAGACTCCAACTCAAAAAATATATATATATATACTTTTCTTTTAATTGTGTCAAAGAATTATACACTTCTTCCTGTTTCTCAAAAGTTATTTTAAAATAATAAGTATTGAATTTTGACAAATACCTGTTGGACAACACATCAAGGTAATCATGTGGTTTTTGTCTTTAATCTAATAATATAAGAATATATGAGAAGAATTCCTCAGATTAAAGAATCCATGAGATAAAACCTCTTTACTGTGAATTCTATTTGCTAAAATTGTATTTAAGATTTTTCTATCAGAAATAATATGCAATTCAAAAAATTTTCTGTTCAGTACTATTAGTATTATTATAGAGAAAAGTTGAAGTAGAATTAATTTCTTCTACAGATATGATGGTTTACTTAAATTTTCTATCTCTTCTAGGGTCAATTTTGGAAGTTTATATTTTCATAGAAAATCACTTCAAATATTTTTCAAGTTTATTTGCATCAAAGGGTACAAAATACTCTCACAATAATTGTTTGAAACTTCTCCATATTTATCATTATGTCACCTTTATTCCGATTTTGTGCAAGATTTCTTTTTTTCTGAATTGGGTTTATTTATCAACATTACTGTTTTTCTCTATTAAATTTTATTAATTTTTGCTTTACCTTTATTATTCTCTCCCTTCTGCTTTCCTTTGGCCTAGTTTATAATTTTTTCCAACTTCATAAGTAAAATATTTAATTCATTTGTTTTTATTATTTTCTCAGCAGATACTGTAGGCCGAAACACTAAAAATACAGTCCAATCAACCCCATTTCCATTTGTTTTCCTTTTCCAGCTGGAAAATTAAGAGGCAAACTTCTACCTCTCGGTAGCTAGGATACAAACATATAACCTAAGAGCTACCAAGTAGACATAACCGAGTGAGACCTGAATACATAGGTAGGCAATATGGAGGGAAATAAGGTCTTGAGACGGACACAGCTGCTCTTTCTGGTAAGGCTATGATGGAACTTAGGACATTTAGTCTTGAGCTTATCAGTTATTAAGGGCAAGTAGTCACAGCATCAGATGTTGCTTAAGAAATTCTGTAGTGTGGGCATTTTTCCCTGATGCAGTTTTCTGGTTCTGTAAGATGCAAGCTTGGCTCTCTGGACTTGCAAGAGACTCTGTGAATCAGATTCAATTGTCAGCAACAGAGAACTCTGGAAGATGCACTCATTTAGTAATGTAAATGCTAATCGATATGGATTCTCCTCTGAATATAGCTTTAGTTGAAATCTTCGGTTTCAATTATCAGACTTTAAAAACACTCTGCAATCTCAATTTTCATTTACATATTGTCCCCAAAGTTGAGAGTTTCTTTTT